GAGAGAGAGAGAGGGGGGGAAAGTGCAGAAGAGATTGATGACCCGCCAGCGTAATTACGAATTCCATATCTTGGTGAGACATCTTGGCAATAAACAAATAAGTTCAGCTCTCTTAAAAATGGAACGGGAATCTAAAGACAAACGTGCGAATAAGCGTGCATCGATATAATCGATCATCAGATTAATAAAAATCGACCTTCAATGCTCTCATTATTTTGTACCTGAAGCAAGACGAATTCGCTTGAGTCGCAATTAGCGACGATATTGTGGATAAGAAGCGAATTGGCTGTGCCAATTTAATCAAAACGAGAAACAAAAAACAATTTGGGAATTTGCCGCACCGAGTGCTTACCAAATTATTAACAGAATTATTATCTATCAAATCGTATACCGCTTGTGTAAAATCGGAAGTTCATTATCCTCTTCCTCTTCCTCCAGCATTGCGGAATATCTTGATATCGATGATATCGATGATATTGCCAAGATCCATGAGATAATTATTACGATTAAATGTCGGTTTCTTCCTATACACGGGCCTGTTATTAAAGTGCTCGAAACAGCTTTTTATAATCTTCGTAAGGCAAAGCAAGATAATTTACAATCTTCCGATTTCTGATTCGACAATAATCAATTGATTTTTCTTTCGTGATGACTAATGAGTCAACGTAACGTATTCGCTTATCTCAATACATTATTATACGATTTTTCATATCATATATGTAAAAACATCAACACACACACTCTCCTATAATATTTTCTGATCACATAGAAAAAATAGTTTTGCTGAAATATCTAAAAATTTAATCGGACCTAAAAATAATTTGATTGGATCATCAAAATAATTATACAGGATATTTAAACATGATGATTATACTTCAACAATTTTTTTATATTCTAACAATAAATTTAGATTCTCTGTATAAATATTTTGATGGTCCAACAAAATTATTTTCAAATTTATATGTAGATAAATTTTTTTAATATTTCTTTCCACGGTATATTGTTATTTCTAAATCGTAAAATTTATTTTTACTTAAAAATTCGATATCCGATCGAAAACATTGGGGATTTTTTAATATTTATTGTAAAACGCATCTACATCCTGAAAATGTAATTTTGGTTAAAAGAAAGCTATACGGAATTATTTTCAAATTATGATATTTCTACTGAAAAATCCAATTGATATTAGTTTCCAAAATTTATGTAAAGATAGCGGTGATAGACACGCAATGCATATCAATCCGATAAAATTACAGATCGACCGCGTGCATTTCATTTAAATTTTCTCGAAACATTTTCCATGAATGTCGGGATGTGACGAAATTAAACGTTGTCTTATGTCAACCCGCAAACTTGCTTATTCTATTTACAAGTTGACCACATCTATTTTAGCTTTATTTTCGAGAAGATTGAGCTATCCCGCTGTTTTGTCCACATAGACGTAACAAGATGCTGTTTGCATCTATAAAGTAAGACACACTACTAACTTGTTACTTTCTAGTTAGAGAAAACTTCCGGCTCAAGTGTTCGGATTATAAAATATGATAAAATTAAAGGTCAATTTATAACGTATATTGCTTTTTAGATAAATTACTTTATTATGATTTCTTCAAAATCAATTAAATCAAGATGGTATTTCTTCAATTTGTAAAGTTTATATTATGTAAAGTTTATACGATTATTATTGCAAATATCACAAAAAGATATAAATATATCTACGACATTTAACTCTAGACTTTTTTCACATATCGGTATACGTGTAAAAATAAATTCCTTGTTGTCTGTGTTGTCTAAGCGTCTCGCTATCAATTTACTTTATGTTTTATTTTTCATAATGCTAGAATGCTTTCTGATAACACATTATTTTACATATATCGCATTACGATGATTATTACAACTATATATTATATCATATATTTTTTACAGATATATTTTTCTACACGATACTTATTAATTTTTATCAATTATGTTACTATATAAGTAATATTATATACATATAAATAATGATATATGATATACAATATTTATAATTTCTTATATTGATTTAAAGATTTTTTTTCATATATAAAATATCTTTTTTATGTTTAATATTTTTCCAAATTATTGCTCTTATTTTACCACGTTTAAATAATAAAACAGATCGTCTTCAACATTCGCCGTTTCTTCGACAGATTACAGAGTACTAGTGGCGGAATTACACCTGGACGGTGGAGAAGAACGAATTGATACGAGTGGTCGAGCCTGTTGCTGGTCCATATACGGATCTGAACGCTAAAATGAATTACCCGAGCCGATACGAGACCCGCCTTCGAAAGACACTGGATGAACTGGTCCCATTGAGGGGAAGCCATTTCTCGTTCTGCTTCACTGATCTCTTTTTCGCATTCATTCATCAGATACATCAGTCTACAGAACGTTTTAAAATTTCAAATGTAATTTTGGAGCAAAATGCCAAGATCGCCTGTTTAGATCGCTACTAGATCGCATCGCCTTATATTATTTACATTAAAAATAGTTTTTCTTTCAAAAAATACAGGTAAGTATATGGAAAAAGAAATAATTTGCATGATCATCAAAAAATGGCGATTCGCGACAATTTAGTCCACTTTAGCCACATTTGATAACTTTCTCCTTTTTATGTTAAATCTCATGAAATCGCCATATAATTCCCCTACATACGATTTTAACTTTTTAACTTTACACAAAAGTATGCGTGTATTTTTCATCTGCTCTTCCCCGAAACATGCACGTTATCTTGAAATAAGTTATTTTTCTCACCGAACAAAAATCCACGATGAAAATAAAGCACGAGTCTTCTTATCTATCGCAACGTTATTTATACGAATTTTACTATTTAAATCTATAATCGACATAAGTCTGAAACCAGATCGATCGAACGTAGTACAGTCGATCGAACGTAGTACATCGAACGATCTCTCAATTAGTTTTGTGTTTTATGAAACAGAGTTTGTTCAAGTTTGTGCAATATACTCTCAGTCTTAAACCGAGAGAGCGGAGCAAGAATGAATTATAAAAATATGAATCGTAAATCGTGTCGCGCGTTTCTTATATCGCGCGAACAAGAAATCGATAGCGCGAACAAGAAATCACTCGCAATTCTATGTGTCGCACAAACTATTCATCAAACCAATTTGATTTTTAAGTCTCGCCAAGTAGCGGGCCAGTCGACATAGTACTTAGAGAACCATTCGATATGACTACCTACGTTATACGCAAACACGTAAGCAACCTTTGCTCCTTATAAAGACAAGCCTCCGAGCGAAGAATAACGACCGGACGGACGGACGGACAGATCGATCTGATATAAAATCGGATTTGCGATCGAGTATTTATGTTACGTCTTGTGATACGCCACGTTGCGTATATCTCCGCCATCGCGACAGAGGGACCACGATGATCTTATCTGTTGTACCGATCGCCGCTTGATTTGATGAAGAGTCAAATTCGCGTAGAAATTTTTGAAAAGAAAAAAATTGTAGAAATTTAAAAAAATGCAGCTAAAAGAGAGAGAGACAATGTTAGGCTATCAAAAGAAATTCGTCTTGCAAACTTTTTATTTACAAAAAATATTGTATTTATAAATACTGATGTTTATTGCTATCGATAAATAAATTAACTTTAATCTCTATTTAACTTTTTTATTTATTTTTTTTAATTCTAAGAATTAGAAAATGATAAAGACTAAATTAAACCAAGATTAAACTTAATATTCATGGATAAGAATGAAAATATTTTGTAAATATTAATTTAATTTATCGATTTTATCTATTATTTTCAAGACTTTTTACGAAATGCGAGCAGAAGAATAAAATTACGACCGATAACGAATTCATTGTAAATCGCGACAGATCACATAGGCCGATCGCCCGATCGTGTCAACGTATCAGCCCTTTATAAAAACCCTTCCGGTTCATTGTTCGTACGGTGAATAAATCGAAACCCGACGCGTAGTCACGTTGCAAGAAATGAACCGCATGAATGAAGCTCCCATTCATACGAACGACCCGTCTCCCTTCAACCTCCTCATTGCCGTCTATGGGACACCCGTGCGGAATATGGACGACATGAGGCTATGCTGTACATACATGCACCGCTCACATACGCTCACATAAGCGCCACCGCACACGTGATCGCCATTGTCGATCGCCGCGAAGATGCTTCGCAATGGATGCTGCGCTATGTTTTATCCTCTGCCTTCTTTTTTGCACCACTCGTCATCATTGCGTCGACTGGTCACGCGAGTGTCCCAAGAATCATAGATATACACCGTTGCACATGTAGTCGCTCATGAGTCGCTCCATTTAATCACTTCGATAACGACAATATGAATTTATATTCTTCATTCATCTATATCTTCCATTTTTTAAATGAAATTATATTATGATTTTGTTTATATATTATCATTGCTCTTAAATATTATTCCGAATATAAAAATATTAACATAAAATTATAAAAAAACAATTTACAAAATCTTTTAATCTATTTATCTAATATATTTTATATGAAACGTAAAACTGGAAATGTAATTTCATATTATTTAATCGTTTAATAAATTTTTTTTCTTCCACGCATGCATTCTCTCGCGAAAAATATAGACTTACATATGTCCAAAGTGAAATAGTACGTTGCAACTATTATTATATAATAGTAATATATTATTTTATATCTGTCTCAATGTTTAGATACTCGCATACAACATATTCGATATCCTTACATCATGTAAGTTATGTAATATCAGTAAAATTAGCAACATTTTAAAATTTCCTCGAAATAATAAAACGCGAGATCAACATCAGCATATAGTACTTATTGTATAGTAGAATTATTACCGCAGTCATGACAGAATGCTGATAAAATACACACTGAAAACAATCAGTTTCAGAAGAAAAAAAGTCTCATTCATCGACGAAGGATCTTCCATTACAATCTCGTCACGTCCGACACAGACCTAGGATCTCGCAGAGAATTGCAAATGTGAAAAAAAGTTAGTCAGAAAGGTATAATATGCTAAAGAGGTAATAAGAAATCTAGTCACCAAAATGGCATCGTTTTAAATCAGACTGTCGCGCTGTTATGATTAGCCATAAAGTTACGAAGAATTTATTACTACTAAATGTTTGTAACTAATTTTTCTATAATTATCTTGAAAACATATTCAGATGTTACATACAATATATTCAGATGCTCCATACATTGGAAAAAATCGATATTAAATCCAATTCTCTTTAATTAGAATGAATTATTACATGCTGCTACTATAATTTTTATAGGTACTAGAACAGTATAAAACGTGCGCTTCGCGCGCGCCATTTATTTTTTAATATTATATATTTTTATATAAAATATTTACATTACATATTATATAATCTTGCTACTAAAATCTCACATAATTACTAATATTAACATAACTGACATTACTCCGAATTTTCATTTCCAAAATTTAATATTTATTCCTGTTCCTGATATTTCTTCCGTGTGTAAAGCTCAACGGAAAGATGTATACCTTATATTATATAATTTTGTTATAAACATTGAAATCTTTGTTTGAGATAGCGATATAATAAACACGCGACCTTGATACTTTGTTTACAATTGACGGGTATTGTATACATACGCGCGGGCAACGCGTTATCATTCAATCACCGACCACGCTCGGGTGCGGGCAGGTGGTGTTGCGTATCGCTCCGCATTTTCATATTTTCTTTTCGAATCGAAGTCGCGACGAATTCTAGACGATGTTCAGAACATCTTACGATGCATGTTATAATAAACGGTGATAGCTCGCGCAATTATGAATTTGTCGGATTTATACGTACATATCAAAAGACTTGTTTTATTTGAATATTCCGGGCGGCGGAAACTGACTCGTATTCACTGATCAACGCTTATCTTTTGAAGCACAGTAATAATTTATTTTTGTAAACGATATTGTAACGACGAGTATTGCCTTAACACGACGGAAGGGCTGCGTATTCTAAAGGGCTTTCTTTAATGATCTAATTCGAGTATCTTCAATATAAATTCTCCTGGAAGGGTGCTTCTCTGCTTTGAAATTCTCACCGATTTAAGTGCAATTTGCATTTTGTAATACATATAGTTACTTTATTATATCAGTCGTTTATTATAACAAAATATATAAGATATATCTATATATGTATCTCAAGTAAATTGTAACGAGTCCATTAAGAGTATGTTCGTTTTGGACGCTCATGCATAGCATAAGCATCATTTTATTTTTATTATTCATATTCACGTCAAAGGAAACTAAAACAATGTTTCCAGCGCACAAGCGTCCAAACAAATGCACTCTAAATGAAAGAAGAGCAAATGTATGACAATAGAAATTTAGAAATTTAAAATATAACGATTATATTATTTAATGTTTCATTATCGAAAGATGTTATAACGCTTCATGGAAATTAAATTTGATTTGTGATATGTGTTGAATTTCGTCTAGCCAAACTATGTTGTTTTAGTTAAAAGTTTACATGCCGCGGCTGGTACGTCACGTGTTTACAAACACTCCGCGCGCTATCAATGTCTCATCGACGTTCGTAGGGGTGCGACCTATCCCGCAACATCGTATTTCTTTAATGCTAATTGTGTTGTATCTTATGAATGTAATAATAAATGTTTTTTAACACACGTGATTAACGACTCGTAAGCATATCGAAATTA